AATGCGTGTGTAAACAGAATATATTCAGTAATTTACTAATAAACACAGGTTCCGCAAAGTCATCATTGCAAAACTGTTCAAATGTGACGGGGCATCGTGTTTGTGGATATCTCGTGTTGTAAGATGGCTCTGTACTTTCTCCATCAACTTCCCGCTGACAGCTCTTCACACTTTCCTGAGCAGATGATTTCTGCAGAAGCTTGAGCTCGGTCTCGTGCTGCGCGGGGGAATTTCCCGTCCACGTGTCTGAGTGCGCGACGCAGGAGGCGGGATGAAAACAAACCCGCCGATTGGCCGCGGAGCCCGGGGCCGCAGCTCCGCCTTTAAGGAGCCTTATTTACCGAGGGAAAGCGCCACGCCCCGGCGGAGGAGTCAGCGCGCGAGGAGCTGACGTCGGCGAAATGAAACGAGCTCTGCCGCGGAGCTGCTCACAGAATGGACGCGGACGACGAGCCGACACGGACTTAACGCACTTCACTGAGCAGGATACTGAACCCACTGCCCCCTTCCCCCCCGAGCAGCGTCCCGACACGACAACCAGGTCCGGCGGTGGTGAGTTCTTCACAAACACGTTCAATGTTTTCAACCTTTTCACGGAACTACGCCGGCTTTAATGTTTTTAAAGACACACGCGCGCCTGTCTGCGTGAAACAACATCAACAACAACAACAACAGCGGTGCTGATGGTGTCATCGATGCAACACACTTTATCTCTGCGTACATTACTGAACCGCAGCGTTAAAGAGGAAACAATAGAAGCGCTGTCGAGTTTAAACTCAGCCTGCCATTCAAACAGCAGAGGTTTGAATTCTACCGGCTTTCCCGGTACACAGCTCGGTACATGGACTTCACAGCGCCGGGTTCTTGTTTCAACAGCGAGAGTCTCTGTTGTGTCTCAGTCCTAAGAGCATTATTCACAGATTAGATAATGTAGCAGATAGTTTAATACCAACGTTATTACACAATTAAAACGTTTTTTGTTGCTTTACATTTCACGGTTATTTTCGCGAGTAATAATTTGTGACATGATTAAGAACATTTGACCCGATCGTCCTGTGGATTTTAGTTATTAAGACTTTTTGGATTAACATTTGTTCATTTGATTTAATTACAAAAGTGTTTTTACTTTACACTTATGCATAAGTTATGCATTCTTTATTGTAACATCAGAGTGTACAACATGTGTTTCTTAAACCTTTGGATTTTATAATCGAGCCTTTTTCGGGTCTGGAAACTTGTCATTGTGTCACTGCTTGGAGCTCGATTAGGTCACCTGTCGGTTAATGTCGCCACATTGATGTGATTCACAGTTGAAATGCTCTGAAGTGATTCTCTTGCATAGAGGATGTGTCAATAACACCCTCACCTCAGCCAACCCCACCTCTCCCCCATCACCCTAGAGTTGAGTGTGTTCAGTCTGCAGCAGGGGGAGCCACTGCCTGACAAACCCACAGCTCACTGCCCTGCACTGGGAAGCAGCACACAAAGCAACCCCGGATGTATAGAAGTTGAGCTTAGTGTTTTTTCCCCCCTGAGTCTTCCATGTTCTTACTCTGTGTTTGTCAAAACAAAGCATTAAGTGGTTTTACACACAGGGTTTATTGTGAAGGCACACAGTAAATGGTGAGGTCTGGGCATGCTAGAGGCAGAGGCCGTGCTGCTTATGTTGGGTGAAGAAATGAAAACGGCTTCTCAGGGAGCTGGCAGGCTGACAGACCAGGGCAGGGAGTGTGGCTTAGGATTTTCCTCAAACACTGTCATTATACTTTTGCTGCGGACCCTAATTTGGAAGTGTGGTAGTAGTCTAACCCTGTATTACAACTCAATGGTGACTCGGGGGTTTAGTTGGGAAGGCGACTTGAATTTCACCCATATTTTGATAACTCGCTGACCCACTATATGATTCAGGGTTGAGTGGAGTGCATCATTTACATTGGAGAGATTCCCATGTGCTTCATGGCATTCTGTGGTAGAACTGCCTCAATGAATCATCACAAAATATGTTTTTATTATTCTTGATATTAAATGTATGTATTGTGTACGTTTCATGTATTTATATGCATACTGGGCACAGTGGTTTGCCATTAAAGTACCCATTATAAGTAAGGAAATAAGGTTAGTTCAGAGACAGGCTCCTGTTCAGGAGGCTGCTTAGCACAAAGAGTCTACCTCGTATTTAACCTAGTCAGCCAAACCCCCATTAATGTAAATGCGACTCAACTGAGTCTGCTAACCACAGTGAATTGTGTGGTTTCATCACTGAGATGAACAGTCATTCGTCTACATAAGCACTGCCACAAATGAGGGCCGACCATTTGCTCATTTTCTCCTCTCCAGCATGTCCACTGAGGTTTTATCGATTTGAGGGCACTCATTATAAACCAGACAGGTTGCCTGTACTGATAATAAATGCTATGGAGGAATGAACAAATAATGAATGTGTCTGAGATCATCTCATCAGGCCTAATGCAGACGTGTTCAAGGTTATGATCATTAGTGAAGGAAACTTGGGGTGGTTTTGATTTATTTAATGGCTGAACGACAGATATATTCTGCCTTCAGCTGACGTAATAACCTTTCTCTCTCTGTTCTGTCACTTTAAAGGTTGCTTGTCTCCTAGTGCCCTCGTATGGACGATGAGGAGGATGATGTCTTTGAGCCAGACCCCCACTTCTGGCGCACCACGTTCAGGGATATAAAGTGTGAAGACCGGGGCACACAGACACCTGGCCCGGCCCTGGCACTGGACAACGGCATGCTGCCGTGTGGAGTCGCAGAGGAGCCCAGACCACTCTTCTACGGTGAGGATGATGACAAATGCGGAATTTTGAAAGAAAGAAAATGAACTTTGCATCGTACGTGATAAACGTGTTATATAACTGAAACACAGAATGATTATGTGAGACTCACTGTGAGAAACGGATAACAATGTTGCCGCACTGATGTCACCTCTGGCGCCAGAGTGTCGTGATCGCAGCAGCTTTTATGGTCTGTATGAAGTGTACCCAGCTGCTTTGCTATTCAAAAGGCGCCACACTGGCATTGTGACTGAAAGGATGTGACAGAAGCTCACCTGCCTACGCAGTAACTGTACAGGGAGCTGGTTATCAGTGGGAGAAATGTTACATTGGCACCATCTGCAAGTAACCATTCCTAAGTAGCTCTGCAACAACTGACTATCCTTCAATTTGGGTCATGCAAAATAGTTGTGTGAGTGACTTATGAAACTGTTACATGACTCATGTTTGATTAAAATTAAATAATTTGTGGTTAGAGCCAAGCCATCTCTTATCTGCAGTGTCATCAGTACAGAAGTAAGCATATTAAAGAAAGACCTGACAGGTGTCATTGCTTTATCTAGGTTGTTACAACATTGAACATTTTTGTTGTTAACAAATAATAAATATCAGCCTTGACACTCCACAGGCAACGCAGGTTTTCGATTGCACTTCCCAGCACACTTTGAGCTTTTTGGGGATCAGGAAGCGAGGCGGCAAGAAAGCCAAGAGGAGCGAAACGGGATGGAGCAGCTTCCCCAGCAGCAGCCTGTGGCGCACAGTGTGGAGGCCTGCATAGGCCAGAAACTCCAGCTGATAGGAGACCAGTTTCACCGGGATCACCTACAACTGGTGAGAAGGAAAGATGATTGTAAAACACAAGATAGACACTTTGATAGCATTAAATAAGTACAATTTGCCAATGAACAGTCACAGACTCTCCCTTTAGTGTCTTAAATTCTGTGTTGTGTGCAGATAGTCCTGAGGTTATTGTTTTATGACTATTCCTCTGAAAGTTGATGAAGGAATTTCTTCTTTCCGACAAATTTGACTAATATATTGCCCAACAAGAACCAGTGTTTGGTTTCCCTGTGCAGGAGCAGTATGTGATACATTTGTTGTGGGTTGGAGGCTTCTCGGTCTGAAACTTATCTCAACCACGTTAAGTCGTGTCTAATAAGTTCAGTTGAATGTTGGTAGGCTCAATAGTCCAAAGTCTGTGCTTCTTATTTAGAATTTCCCTTGGCTTTATGATTGTGTCATGCTCCTGATAATTCACTATTATCTGTGACTGTGACAATGTGTGTGTGCATGTGTTTGTGTAACTGTATCAGGTGAAGGGGGCTTTTAAAAAGTCACAAGTGCAGTCCCCACATTAGCAACTCCATCTACATACTTTTTGTATTAATTTCTGGATCTCATGTCGAGGTGAGTCAAAGGTTTTATGGGTCAAAAGTTTGCGCTCTTATATATAGTGTTTGCTCTGTAATTGTTTCGGAGAGGCCCTGCATATGCAGAATTTCTGCCCAGCGTCTCACCCCGCTCTCTTCCCTAAAGCCAAAGACTTTGCTGAACCAGGACGGCCCTTCCCCCACCTCACCAACCCCAGGCCCTTCCCCTGCCTCCTCTTCCTGTTTATTTCTTTCTCTCTCCTTCTCTCTCATCTCTCTCTCTCTCATCTCTCTCTCTCTCTCTCTTCTCTTGTGTTCTGTAGAGGGTGCCTGGCCTTAAACAACACACCAGCACTGTGGTCAGGGTGACACTGTTCACTGAGTCCATGTGCTGCTGTGTAATGTCACTTCAGTATGGGTGCACTGTAAAACCATGACACACTTGTTGCTTCATCTGCAGAACCATGAAATATATGTCAACTCTTGAGGGATTTGCTGTAGAGTGTGAATGTCTTGTTGCACAAGTGTTTAGCAGTCAAACATACGTGCATGTTTAAACACATGCATCCACCATACATACTGTTACATCCAGGAAAAAGCAGAAGCGGTGGGAGTAGGTAAACATGTTGTAACCCGAAGCTCAGCGCGTGAGCCCCAGAGGGAAGCAGCTGTGGTTTCAGGGAGTCTCCAGTCAGCCCCTTCCCTCGGCGAGGACAGGCCGCAGAAGACACCCAAATAAGAGGTCTACGTGGCCATAAGTGAGGGGGGGGTTATCCAAAATGAAGGTATAATCATGTATACGAGGGAAGGAGGTTTGGAAATGAACCTCAAATGATCAAGTAACAACCAATCATGGGTTGTCCTAAAACCTCCCTGCCCTGCACATAATACAATTCTTTTTATAACTTCATACCCTGAAGTGTTAGACAGTTTGATTTTCTCATGCGCTTATCAAACTGAAGTTATTTATACCCTGGCAGCGCAGCGTGACTCATGAATTGTGACACTCGCAGACACATACAGACAACTAGACAGTCAGACATGAGGGTTGCTGTGTAGTGTATATGTGTCTGTGTGTGTGCACGTGTGTGTGTCTGTGTGCGGCCAGAAATCTACTGACGCACAATGGTGGCAAACCTGGGTCAGGGGATGAGGAAGTGGCTTGGGCTCAGTGCGCTGGTTGAGTAAACAGCATCGAGGACAGTCAGAGTGAGAACGGCCTTGTGAAGTCACATCCTGAAGTGATGCATGTTATGATACTGAATGGCGGCTGATAAAGACAATAATATTCCATCAGTCTGTGAGTGTGTTTTCCAGGTAAAACTCATGTTGTGGGGACCTCAATCTGTTACACAGTCATGGGGACCAAAACAGTCCATAACAGAAATCATAGAATGTTATAGTAAAGACATGCTTTATGATTGGGTTAGGTTAAAGTTGAGTAGAAACTATTGTTTAAGTTAATGTCT